CCCACTATCATGCTCAGTCCCCACCAGGGTTTCAGCAATTCCTCTTTGTTACATTACCCTCGATCATGCCCTACCAGACCTCCCACATGGGTGGATGGGTTTGTTTTTTTTAATAAATTCATTGAGGCTCATACAATTCATCACAATACATAGATCAATTGTGTAAAGCACACCTATATGTTTGTTGCCCTCATCATTCCCAAAATTCGCTTTCCTCTTGAGTTCCCGGAATCAGCTCATTTTCCTTTTTGCCCCTCCCTCTCTTCCCCCTCCCCCTCCCCCATGAACCCTTAATAATTTATAAATTATTATTGTATCTTATATTACACTGCCCGGCGTCTCCCTTCACCCACCCCTCTGCTCCCCCAGAAGGACACCTGGCTGCTGGCTGAGGAAAGGTGTTACTATAGACCAATGACTGCATTCTTACTGGTTGCTGATCCTGCCTGACCTGTGGTAACCTCTTACTTTCCCTAATAAGCCCTCTGAATCATGAGTAGTATCTGTAATTTCTATGTGGCCATTTGCAATGAATTATCAAACCCAGCATAGAAGTAGAGTGCCATAGGAGCAATAGTTGGTGTCAGGATAGAGCAAAGAAGGAGAGAGGTGAAGGTACGGCTGAGTCTTGCCTGGAGGAAATAGGGAAGCCACAGGAGGCCAGATATGTCCACTTCCATTGCTGTTTATTACATCTGTATTAGGTAATACAGGCAACCATTTTCTTTAAACTGCTATGTTGTTGTTAGGTCCTGTAAATTTCAACTCATAGCAACCCCATACAACACAATTGGTGGTGGCATAATGGTTATACACTGGGCTGCTAATCTCAAGGTCAGCAGTTTGAAACCACCAATCACTCCACAGGAGAAAGATGAGGCTCTCTTCTCCTGTAAACACTTACAGTCTTGTCAATCCACACGGGCAGTTCTACTCTGACTTTTAGGGTTCTATGAATCAGTATTAACCCATTTGCAGTGAGTTTGAGGTTTTTTCTTACTTTTAGGGAGCAGATCGCCAGAGCTGATGGGCGAGTTAGCATCAGAGCACCTAACCTTTGTGCCACCAGGGCGTTTGATAAAGCTGCATACGTTACCTTTTCATCAACGTTGTCTCTTGGAAACTGTTGGCATGTGATATTTGATTTTGTCTTTTCTGTATTTCTCTGACTATACTGTTTATATTCCTCTTTCATTTCATTTTTGTTTTTCTGATATTTTAGTTTATATTTGCTTGCTGGTGCTGGTGGATTTTCAGGTATTATGTTCTGCTCCTAGAAGTAAAATAAATTAATAAATATATATTGATATATCTACATATATATTTCCAGAAAACTCATTATTAATATAGCATTCTTATTACTTACCTTAACATTTATAGTTAATAAATGAGCCATTAAATATGTATTATAAACAGAAGTATGATAGTTAAAACATTGAGTTGGGACAGCACCACTGACTAATTGGAGCAAACAAACAGTTCAGAATGGACAGTGACCTTAAACAGCAAAAGGGTTATCCATTGTTTAGAAGTTGATGATCAGCCCAAGTCCTAATAGAAATTGAGTGGCAAGTACAACTTTGCTTCTTTTTTAAACCCATTCACTACCCTCTAGTCCGTTCCAACTCATTATTATTCTTTAAAGGATTTCTGGGGTTTCTTTCAAAGAATCTTTTCAAACTCACTGCTACTAGGCAAATTCTGAATGCTAGCAACCCTACAGAACAGGGTAGAACTGCCCGTGTGGGTTTCTGAGACTATGAATCTTTATGAGAGTAGAAGCTTCATCTTTCTCCCCTAAGGAGGCTTGGTTTTTCGTCTTTTTAGTGTTTTCTACTCTAGAAGAACTCCATTGTCAATCATTTCCTCCACATTAGTAATCGGAACTGGGAGTCACTGTCTTGTCACTGTTGACTGCTAACTGCAAGGTTGGTGGTTCAAACCCACCTGCTGCTTCACAGGAGAAAGATGAGGCTCCAGTTAATATTGACAGTCTCATAAATCCTATAGAGGGTTGCTCTGAGTCAGAACCAACTCAGGGCAGTGGGTTTGAATTGGTTTCAGACTAGCATAGAAGCACTGGCTGCATTTTTACACTAGAGATATTCTTTATTTCAGGACTGTTTTGGTTCTGTGCCACATTTCCATGGGAGAGAGATAAAGGACCCAGTGGGTAAGAGAAACCCACTGGGAGTACTACGAAAATACAAGAGCATACCTACATTAGCATACAGCGGAGCAAACACTCCAAACGGGGAACAACCAAGCACTTCCAACCCTGGGAAAGTGTTTAAAAAATGTCCTAGAAATCTAACCTTGAGAAGAAGGACGAGGCAAAGCGTCAGTGTAAAAACTGTAGCAAGATAGAGACGAGGGCACTATTTATGCAAATGTATATACAATGAGACCGAAGAAAGCACGAATAGAGCTGGCTACTAAATTAACAAGTACAATAGACTGAGCCTTAAGCAGTGGACAGGACTCATATCTGTCATGTAAATGTAAACACTAGATTTTTTTTTGTATAAACCTAGTTCAAGGATTCACCATGCTATAAGTATGATTATTTACTTCATAAACACATGGAGTTCCATGAATTAGAATTAATCCCAAGGCAACTCTTCCTTTCTTCTTCTTTTTTTAATCCTTTCTGCCGATTGAGTCAATTCCAAATCATAGCAACCCTATAAGGCAGAATAGAACTGCCCAGGTGGGTTTCCAAAACCATCCAATTTTACAGGAGTAGAAAACCTCATCTTTCTCCAATGGAGTAAATAGTGGGTGGGTTTGTACTGCTGGTTTTAGCGGCCAAACTATGCCACCAAGGCTCCTTTTTAAAAACTATAGTTATGTAAAGTATAAAACAATTTCCAAGAACCCAATCTTACATTCCTAAACTACCAAGCTCTGATCTAAACTCCTGTCATATTATTAAAGTACTAGGATATGCTTGTTCTCCTATGAAGTTTGACAATGAAGTGAACTTATTTCATGAGTTTTACATTCAAGATTTTGATATATGAAATATTTAAAACAGAGATTGAATATAATGAAATTTCTGTATTAAATACAGTCCTAATCATGCATGTCATAATTCTGGGAATTGGAAATAAGCAAATTCAATACTAACCAGATCATTGAGTTGATCGGGAGTATAAGGAGTTTTGCATGGTGTGAGGCAAGCAAGAGCAGAAGATGAATGTGGAGGGTTCAAATGAGTATGCGCTGTACTAAGTGGGAAATATGAAGAGCCGTCCTAAAAATAAAATGAAGTAGTGCTTATATGCGCTTTCTACAATATCTTGTGAAAAATTTTGCTATATTAAATAGCACGTGAAAATTACCTCATCATCAGAGTCAACCAGGCTTCCCAAATCAAGTCGTGGTACCCTGAAAGAAATCACCCATTCATCTCATAACTTTTAAAAAATTAGATTTAATAACTACAAATCACATATGTTACAATTAAAACCCACTGCCATTCAGTCCACTCTAATTCATAGTGACTCTGCAGAACTTCCCCTGTGGTGCTCCGAGACTAACTGTTCATGAGTGTAGGCAGTCTTATCTTTCCGATATGTAACGGCTCATGCAAAAAGGTACGCTGAAGTCAGTGCTTTACCGAAGCTGGCTCGTTTGTTCAAAGCTCAGTGTTTCCCAAACTGGATATTTGAATACAACCATGACTGAAAATTGAGTTGTATAAACTTATAATTAAATAAATCATATAAAAATAAAGATAATAAGTACTCAACACTCATCACTTTCTACTGAGTTTACTGTATCGCACTGTTATCTAAGATTGAGATATTATATGCATCTACTGTGTCTGTACAAAAATATAGTGGAAATTTCTTACCACCTGTGTTTACTGATGTCACATAGATTTAAATCAACCAGGATGGGAGAATTTACATTGAAATTAACAGATCGTTAAAAAGCAATGGACAAAATGCTAATGCAGATTGAATGAAAAATGTGTCACATCTACAGCTACTCTATTGTGAATAACACACACACACACACACACAAAAAAAACCCTGAAGAAATATTTTTCCAGGCTGGATGTTGGCCAGAGTCTAGGAAAAGACGAGACTATCTGCCCCTGTAGTTTTACAGTCTCCGAAATCTATCTAGGACCACTTTAAGTTGGAATTAAGTTGATGGTGGTGAGTTTGGTTTCTTATGTTTGTTTATTACTCAGTTGAGCAAAGAAATAACTTGTTCTAAAGTCAATGAAAATGTCAATTAATATTCATGTTGAAGCTACACTGGTTCATCAAACATCAAATTCTGTGAGAATTAATTGACAGTATGAGATTTATCATAAAGAAATATATATGTTAATACTATATCTATTGCTTATATACGTAAACTTTATAGTTAACCTATGAACCAGTTTAAGCCTATTCATAAATCAACATGTAAAATTTATAATGTCAGACAGTTATTGAGGTTTGCCAGCACATCATGGCATTGTCATGTATTCAATATCATATTTAGCACTTGTGTCTAGCTCAAATTCTATGTTTAGATCATCAGATCAATATCTATTACATGGTACCACATCAAATTGATCTTTGCCCTCATTTAATCTACACAAATACCAATTTATTTGTTTAATCTAACAAATTACTGAGGTGTTTTTATTTCTATTTTCTGAGACACCTTATAATCTAAAAATTACTTTAAAAGAAAATAAAAAATGTGTAAATCCAAAATTTTAAAGGGAAAATAATATAACATTTAAGCATGCTAATATACCCTAGGACAAAACGATCATCCGGAGGAGACTGATAAAACTGTCACAGCCCTCAAGAAGAGACTAAGACAGCGTATAGACCATTAAATTCATTTTGAATGTAGCAATTATTAAATACAAATTTTTGTATACCTTGAGCAAATGTATTTTGCTAGATTTTCTAAATATGGTAATAATCTTTTCAATAAAATGCAAAAAATAAAGGAAATGGAAACAGAAAGGTAGTTGAGGAACTTAGTGGTAGTAAAATAATTTGGAAAATGATATTGAGGCAGGTGGCATGTCCTGTAGAACATAGCTGTCTTCTTAATTTTAAATGTAGAAATTGGTGACATGATATATATTTTCTGTATAGTATATTTTCATTAAAAAAACACTGAAGGTATTTTGTATTTATTTTGCTACAATTTAAAAATATAATTGCAGGAATAACAATGAGTACAAGGAAAAAGCAAATGTTCTAAAATTGATTGTGGTAATGATTATGCAACTCTTCCTAATATGATTGAACTATTGAATTGTATGATATGTGAAATATGTGCCAATAAAACTCTTAAAAATTTTTAAGGAAAGAGTAAGTATTATTCATAATACCACCATCCTATCACAAGAGTTACTTTAATTTTGACATGACAGTTTGGGGGCTCTATATGCTTGTAAAGTTTTCTGTAGTTCGCAATCAAAACCATATAAATAAATTTGCTTTTTAAAAAACTTATCAATGTATCCTATTTGTCCATTAAACAGTGCAAATGGGAGTGACTGTGAATCTGCATACAGCAGAAGAAAACTCTGCGTGGTCCTGTGTCCTGCTCATGATTATTACTCATGAGCCGATTGTTTCAGCCATGTGTCAATCCATCTTTTGAGAGTCATCCTTTCTTCCCTTTTTACTTTGTCATTTCAAGGAGGGAGTAGGACTAGGCGTGTTTCCTTCTGTTGTACATTGGATTGTTATACAATAACAATAGAATGGTTCAATATTTTTATCTGCATGGAGGATGAATGTTGATATCATTAGACATTTTATAAACTACATGATAGCATTTTCTACTTTGGGAGCTTTTTAAAAACTAACTTAGGTCTTGTTTTTGTTCTTACTAATGCTTGCTACATACTTTAGGAATAACAAAACTAACTTTCATAATTTTTTTAAAAGTTCAAATATGGAGAAATGTAACTTACACAGGTGAGCAAGGATTCTGGGGTACCCGTGTTTCAGAAGTCCATCCTTGCTTTAATTAAAAAAAGAAAAGAAAAGAAGCATGTATATACCCTTTATTTGCACTCCACAGAAAAGCCATGAGTCAATAAAGCTAATTATAATTTTTCTAACTAAACTTTATGCTTCAAGCCTAGCCTTTCTGTGCTGGAGATACAAAGAGTAATAAGCATGCTGAAGAAAATATCCACTCAAATAATCAATCATGTAAACAGCAAGTGCTATAGTAGAGCAACTAAACATGGCAGGCATTCATTCCTGCCCTAGTCTAAGGACATCAGGACACGGCTCCCTAACAAGGCAAACTTTAAACTTAGCCACGAAGAACACATAGGAGCTAGACAGAGGAAGAGGAGACAGGAAATTGTTTGAGGAGGAACAAGTACTCTTGTAGAAGCCCAGCCTGCCTGCAAGCGGTTATACTCTGGGTGTGAAGGGGGAGTGGCAGAGGTGTTACATTATAATACAAGGAGCTTAATATATACAATGTAACATAAGGAGCTGGGGGCATTGTCAGAAACGTAGTAGGAAGAGAAAATAGTTTCAAGATATATGTATAAATGTTCCATCTCAGCACCCCCTAAAAAGAAAAGAATGAAAGAAAAGTACAAAACCATAAAAAATTCAGTGAAAGAGTTATGCATATGTCTTGGAGAAAGTTCAAATTTATAAAGACAAGAAATTACATTTAAAACTGAGTTTCTCCATTAACTGTAAAAATAGGATATAAATTCAACTTTATATCAACTTTAATGTGAGATTATTTCAAATACTATAGTAATAAATAGTTTTAAATATAAAAGTTTAATATCACAATATAATCTTTTAAATGAAAATATATTTATATGGCATAGCCTCAAATAACAGCACACTTTCATTTATCAGCTATTAAAGATTTTCTTAAATGTGCTTAGGAAACATCACATCACTCAACTTTAAGGGAGTGAATCGAAATACATGTAGTTGTCATAGTTGTTGCTCTCATCATCCCCAGAGAATGTTTTAATATCGATACATAGTCAAATGAAGCATAAAGGTAACTTTTTTAGTATGGCAAACTTACCTAATTATAACAAATTTGTGCTAGTCAATAAATGTGGGAACCTAAGGACCTGGAAGGCAGTGTATGCGGCCTGCTCCCAGCATGTGACCACAGGCGTGGCACGCCATCCCTAACGTCAGGCACGCCTCCACAGTCCGGAAGATGGGAAAGCGCCTCAATGCAGAAGATTCCAGGAAATACATTTCTCCCCAGCATATGTGGCCCCCATTACTGCCTAAAGTTGTCTCCTTCAGTTGCCTGACTCCTCACATACACAGTTAAAGTATCTCAAAGAACATGTGCACCCTTTGTCGCTTATCTGAATGAGCATTTATTTGTTCCTCTTGTCTCGGTTAGGCGTTGTACTCCTTTTGAAGTATTCCCTGTGAAGGCTGGAATATCAAGATCAGTGCATTGCCCGTTTGTTTGATATGTATAACAAAAAGCTTGCACACCCCAAGAGCTATAAAAATCCATCGTTGATTAAACTGGGCTCTTCTCCCTCTTCTCGCTTCATGGAGTGGAGCCCCTGCGCCCCCTTCTCTGTCTTCTTTAATTTCGCACATCGCTCTGCAGGATCATTTGACTGTGGGGCTGGACCCCCCAAATAAAGATAATTTAGAGCTTTTAAATCCCTAAGACAAGAGTCAGCAAACGTTGGCCCACAGCCCTGTTTTAGTAAATCAAATAGTATTGAAACACCTCTACACTCATTAGTTAAAAATTATCCTTGGCTGTATTTACACTGCCACAGCAGAATGGAGTACGTAATTGTGAGGGAAATTTCAGAGTTTATGGTGCCCAAAATATTTACTGCCTGGACCTTTATAGAAAAAGTGGAACTTTTTAAAAATCTTGTCTTTATTATATGGTAGTTATAACTCCCCGCTCTCCTCTGACAGTTTTTCTTACCATGGTGGCTCGCCTGATGCTACTGCAGGCTACTGTTTTTGAAGCCATGACACCTGTAAATCAAATACCAGAGGTGCCACCCTGGGTAAACAGGTTTCACTAAAGCTTCCAGACCAAGAGATAAGGAAGAAGGGATAGGTCATCTACTTCTGAAGGACTAGCTATTGAAAATCTTATAAATAACAGAGAAAAATCATCTAATATAGTGCAAGAAGATGAACCCTTCATATTGAAAAGAATTCAAGATAATATTGGGGAAAAGCTGCCTATACAAGGTAAAGTTGACCTAAATAGTTTGTCTGGAACAAAGTGCTTGGGCCCTTCCACTGCTCTTGGGAAATGACTTAAATGAGAAGAAAGAACTGAAAACAGCCACTAAGAATCAGAACATGGAGTATACAAATTATGAGTCTCAGAAAACTGAAAGTTGTCAGAAATGAAATGGAACTAATAAAGATGGTAGTGGCTATTTTTAATAAGACAGTCAGATAATTTACTATGTGACAAAAAAGAATGGCTTCACATTATGGTTAAAAAGAACATTTCAAGATCCATCTTAAAGTATAATGCTGTCTGTGATAGGATAATATCTATACACCTACAAAGAAGACCAGCTCATATAACTATTTTTAAAACTTATACGCCAGTCACTAAAGCCAATAATGAAGAAATCAATTAATTCTACCAACTTCTGTAGTCTTAAGTTCAACAAATATGCAATCAAGATATATTGATAATTAGCAGTGATTGAAGCAAAGGTTAGAATAAAGGGGAAGTATCTACATAAAAATTTGGCCTTTGTCAAAGAAATGAATCTCTATATCACATGCAAGAAGTTTTCAAGGCCAATGGCTTCCTTATTGAAAATACCTTTCTCAACAATACAGATTGCAATTATATTTGTGGATCACAGCTGATGGAATAGACAGAAATCTAATTGATTTATATCTGTGGAAAAGCTCAACATCAACAGCCAAAACAAAACCAAGGGTCCACTGTGGAACAAAGGTTCATATGCAAGATCAGGTTGAACCTGAAAAAATTAAAATAAGTCCAAGAGAGCCAAAATACAACCTGGAGTTCATCCACCTAAATTTAGAAATCAACTCAAGAACAGATTTGATACACTGATCATAAATGAATGAAGACCAGCTATGTTGTGGGATAGCATTAAGAATATCACACATGAAGAGGGCAAAGGATAATAATATAATCAAATCTAAGAGGGAATGGTATCAGAACTTAAATTGTGAGCACTTGGTTTGCAGAAGACTATAGACAACAGCGGAAGCCCAAAATCCATTTGCAAGGTCCACACATGGATTAAGCCTGCTTTCTATGGCAAAGGCCATCAGAGGGTGAATCCATTCTCGTCATAATTGAGGCATGGAAATAGCCATGTAATCAGACACAGAACATTGTAAATTTGAATTTGGCAGATCTCTTTCTCTCTCTCTCTTGCTCTCTATCTCTCTCTCGCTCCCTCTCTCACATGCACATACACACACACACACACACACACACACACACACTGCCATCAAGTTGATGCCGACTCATAAGGACTCTACAGGACAGGGTAGACTTGTCCTGTACGTTTCCAAGACTGTAACTCTTTATACAAGCAGAAAGCCCCACCTTAGGGTAAAATGTAATATCTTATCATTTGATCTACCTTTTGGCCCACTTAAGGTTATTTCAGTTTAAAAAAAAGTGGATTAAGCCCCTGGTGAATCCCTCTGTGACCATGGACCAGGGATGTGAATAGTCTTGCTAACATGTAAAATGCATTGGAAAGTAGATAGCTGTAGATGTAGTTAGGTTAAAATTTAGCACTCTACCATTTGATCTCCCTTATGATCCATTTAAATTTGTTCTAGTTTTTAATATTTTCTGCTTTCTTTTTTATTAAGGTTTTGATCTGTTTTACTTTGTTATTGATTTTTGGTTTTGTATTTTTGTTTTTTCTTTTAATGTTTTTCTGTATATGAAATCCAAAATAAGTAAATTCTGTAGTGACAGTAACTGGATTAATGATTCCTTGGGGGTAAGACAGGAGAGTTTGGGGGGAGACGGGGTGCTAATGAGTACAGGAATGAAAAATATGTGGTAAAACTGATTGTAGTCATGATTACACAACTCATCTTGATGTGGCTAAACTATTCAATTGTATGATATGTGAATTATATGCCAATAACGCTTTTGAAAAAAATAAATAGAAATAAAAGGAAGAAAAAAAGCCCAAAGTGGCTACAGAAGAGAATCTGAAACGTTCTCTTGGACACAGAATGGCCACAACAAAGAGAAGGAAAAGAGTCAAACACAACATTTCAAAGGGCAGCACGAGAAGACAAAATTAACTATTAAAATGAGATGTGCAAAGACCTGAAATTAGAAAACTAAAAGGGCATAATACACTTACTATATCTAAATCTGTAAGAACTGAATAGAAGAAAATCAAGCCTTGCATTGCCATATTGAAGGATTCTATGGTAAAATATTGAATCATTAAGGAATCATCAAAGGACAATGTAAAGAACACCTGGAAGCACTGTATAAAATAAGAATTGGTGTTGCCATTCCATGGGGTAGTCTAAGACCAAGGGAGGAAAGACTCCATTCTGAACTAAATTCATTTGCATAAAACAAGGCTCCAGGAATTGATAAAATATCAATTGAAATGGTTCAACAAGCTGATGAAACACTAGAAGCACTCATAAGTCACTCCAAGAAATTTGGAAGAGAGCTCCCTGCCCACCCAACTGAAAGAGACCGGTCCAAACAACTGTGACCCAAAGAAGTGTGGAAATCATCCCAAAACATTATTACTATCATATGCAAATAAAAGTTTGCTGAAGATAATGCACAAATAGTTGCAGCTGTGCATTGACAAGGAGCTGCTATAAATTCAAGTTGGATTCAGAAGAGGACGTGGAATAAGGGATGTCGTTGATGTCAAATAGAAGCAGTGAATACCAGAGAGATTTTATTTGTGTTTTCTTGAATATGCAGTGGCATTTGACAGTGTAGGGTACAACAAACTACAGGTAATGTTGTGAAGAATAGAAATTAGGGCTCTCACTGCTGACATCAGATGGATCTTGGTTGAAGGTAGAGCATATGCCTTCTAAAGAGTTTCCCGGCTGCACTTTTTCCAAAGCCGATTTTCTCATTCTTCTGTAAACCATGTTACACTCACTTTTTCTTAGCCAATATCCTAATCCAAAGGCATTAATTCTGCTTCCTTATTCATTGCCTATCTTTTGCATGCATATGAGACCATTAAAAATGCCAAGTGTCAGGTCAGGCACTTTTAATCTTCAAAGTGACAGCTCCCCTTTTTTCAAGAGAAAGAAGACTTCTGCAACACATCCTTTGACTTCGTGGCTACAGTTTCTATGGGTGTTCGCTATGGATCCAAGTAAAATAGAATCCTTGAGAACCTCAACCTTTTCTGCGTTTATCAGGATGTTGCTTATTAGTAATGAGAATTTTAATTTTCTTTATATTAAAGCATATCCATACTGAATATTATATTCTTTGACCTTTGTTACTGAGTAACTTAAGTCCTCTTCACTGTTCAGCAAGCCAGGATTCATCATCTTCTCATTGCAGGTAGTTAATGAATCTTCCTCCAATCGGAATACTGTGGTCTTCATATAGCCCGCCTCCTCAGATTACTGCCTCAGCATACAAAGTGAATAAGTTTGGTAAACAGGTCCAACCCTAATACACCCACTCCTTTCTCAATAAACCATTGTTCTGCTCAAACACTTGTCCGCTGGTCTAGGTACAGGTTCTTCTAGAGCACAATTAACATAATAAACATTGAATAATTTTATGGAATTATAGTAGCCTAGAAAGTCCCTTGTGTAAAATGAAATAAGCAGTGTGCTAAGTTATATAGGCAGTGTATAATGGCACTAACGTATAAATTCAACAAAAGGTTAGCAGGGTTTGTTCCAGTTGTTGAAATATTGGTGTTTTCTCTTGTTTCTACTGTTTTTCAATAATTTGTGCACACATATTTTTTAAAATAGTAATAATAAAGGGCTGAGCTTTAAAAACATACTGATTACCCTGTCTTGGTGGTTTATATTTGAAGACCTAGGAAGAACAGTAAATCTTAAATATGTGAGTATAAGCAGTCAGAAAACAAATTAAGAAAACTATTTAATGAATATAGTTCATTAAATATAGTTTAATGAATATAGCTGTCAAAGAAAAATTTTTAGCATACATACTTTTAATGGCTTCTTTCTTTCAGGGAATGGCTGAGTTTGGCTCCTAGGTGAAGCAGCAAATACCTTAACCTTTAAATCCATTCAAGCTCAAATATTTACCATGCAATATACTTGAAAAGAAGGGGAAAAAGTTAAATGATCATTTGTACAATAATTTTAACTAAGCAAAGTAAGTCTACAGTAGTCCTAAATGGGAGGAAATCGGGTAGGTTCTCACTTTTACTCCTTTCCATAAAAATCAGTATTTTGTGGTGCTATTATATTTTATAGAGTTTTGGTGGCCTGGTGGGTTATCCATTCAGCTGCTGACTACAACATCCTATGCACTGGAGAGAGGTAAGGCTGTCTACTCCTATAAAGATTTAAAACCTTGGAAACTCAAAGGAGTAGCTCTACTCTGTCCCATAGGGTCTCCAGCAGTCAGAGTCCGCTGGATCACAATCAATGCGGATTTCGGTTCTTTTGTTTGTTTGTAATCACATTGTGTGAAGGAGTCCCATGGCACAATAGTAAAGCACTCTGCTGCTAATTTAAAAGTGGGCGTTCAAACTCACCCGCTGCTGGAGACTGATGTGACAGACTGCTTCCCTAAGGATTATAAGCACTATTAGAAACCCTGCGGGGGAAGCTTTACTCTGCCTGTAGGGTCTCTATCATGAGTCAAAATCAATTGTAATGGCTGTGGCACATGATGTCCTATGCTACTGTGGTAGTTACACAATTTCATGTAAACTTGATGAAATAATGAAGGGGTGGAGTCTAGTCTGTCAGTCAGGTCACAGCCTGATTGATCCCTCCTTGTGGACATGGTCTTCTCATGAGGATTCTGGGAACTTCTCTCTCTCTTGACTCTGCCATTAAAAGAGTCAGGCCTCTTCTCTCTCTCTCTCTCTCTCTTTCTCTCTCTCTCTCTCTCTCTCCCTCCCTCCCTCCCTCTCTTTCTCCTTCGTGTTAAAGAGCCACATGAAGGCCTGCACCTGCACCTACACCAAGATGCTTCCACCAGTATTGGATCCACAAGACTTTTCACCCACTGCTCTGTGATTGTGGTAGTTATATAATCTGTTATCAATTTGAGACTTAAGAGAAAGAGGTGGAGTGTAGCCTGTCAATCAGGTTTCAGCTTGATGACCACATCTAGAGGCACTAAGGAGAAAAATAGCTCACTGGAGGTGGGACACACACTCACTGCCTGTGAGGCAGTCCTGTTGAAAAGACACATGGAGCTATGCTAGAGCCCTGGAGCTGAAAGAGCCATTCGGAGCCCCCTGCCAGAGCTAAGATGCTTCCACCATCACTGTATCCACAAGACTTTCCACTCACTGGCCTGTGATCTCCCTGCATTGGGCATCATTGCATGTGCTGCATGAGTCTGAAGAGGAATTTATAGCTTGGTATCGGTCTTATGGACTTGATCTTGACTGGGCTGGGATATTTTCTCAATATTCAATTGCTCTTGCATATAAAGCTCTCTCTTATACACATGAGTATTTACGAATTTGTTTCTATAGCTTACCCAGACTAGCACAGTGATCTGCCTGCATTTGGCATCATTACCTGTGCTGCAAAAGTACTGAAGAGGAGTTTATAGAGCAGTATCGGACATATGGGCTCATATCAGACTTATGGACTGAGCTGGGATGTTTTCTCAATATTCAATTGCTTTATGATATAAGGCTCTCACACATATATGAGTGTCAATGAATTTGATTCTCTAGTCAAGTCAGTCTAACACAGCTACACTGAATCATGGCCCCAAAGATACCCACACATTGAAATCCACTGCCTCCCAGTCAATTTCAGTTCGTAGTGTCCCTACAGTTTCTGAGGTTGTAAATGTTAAGGGGAGCAAATCGTCTCATTTTACATTCACAAAATGGCTGAGTTTGAACCGCAAACCACGGGGTTAGCAGTCCAACACTTACTGGACACCCTGTGATATATATATGTTAGGTTCCATGGTAAAGGGGGCTTTTCAGGAGTGATTAAAGTAAGGCTCATGAGATGGTGTGATAAGAAGACCTAAGGTTGGAAGCAGAGATCAAAGAGTAGATCCCAGGCAGCTGAATTTGAAGATAGGACATCTAGAAAGCTGGAAGAAGCAAATAACGAACAAACAAAATCTCCCCTGGGTCCTGCAGAGAAGCCAGCCCTAGCCTGAGCTCTGGTAGACTCATTTTTGGATTTATGATTCCCAAATAAATTCTGATTATTTTCGGTAGGCTCTGGATGGAGCAAATGGCTAAGTGGCTGGTGAAGTGCTCCCTGTTAATGGAAACATCTGCCGTTCTAGTCTACAGCAACAAGGGAATACATCAGTGTTATTTTAACACATTAAATTGGTAATCATTTGTTATATCCGCACTATAAAACGAACACAATGAAATATACGTGGGGCTGGAAGAGGAAATTCCCGACAAAGGTTCCAGCTAGACCAGGCCCGCGTCAGTAGGTTGCCTAGCAACGAACGCCTCCGAGCCAGAAACTCCTTTTGCCCTCTGAAGCTTCCAGGGAAACAAGAAAGTCATCCTCCCGAGTCCTTCGGTCTTCCCATGAAGCTACGTCCCTCCGTCTATAGGCGAGCCCGGAGCGATGCTCCAGACGCGGTACTCACGGGAAAACGGAAAGTGGTGAACTCACTCCCTCGGCAGCTTCACCGTAACCGACCCGGAAAACTCCGGGGTGCCTGGAAAACCTGGAAGGCATTGAAGCGGAGTCACTCAGCCGAGCTTCTCCAGCGCGGGGACAAGCGCAAAGGCCGGCCTGGAGTTCAGGAGGGTGTAGTGAATTCTTTGTCTTAGTGAAGTCTGGTTTCCACTGTGTGCTCAACACCGAGATTGCTGCTTTGATATGACGTCAGAGAACGGGCTGTTTCGTCTGTGCTCAGCAGCTTGCAGTTACTTAAAAAGACTGTAGTGTACTCGGTGCCACCGAGTCAATTCTGACTCACGGGGACCCTCTTAGGACAGCGTCGAACTGCCCCTGTGGCTTTCCAAGACAGTACCTCTGCGGAGTAGAAAGTCTCATCTTTCTCCCCAGGAGCGGCTGCCGGTGGTTTCAAACGATCAACCTTGTGGTTAGCAGCCCAGTGCACAACCACTGTATAAAACATACTATACTATGTTAGTATAAACAATTACATATATAAATTACATATGCATCTCTATTCATAAAGATATGTGTGTGTATATATACAGACGTACACTTGTAGAGGCAAGGAATCGCAAGGCAAGCCACCAATAGCAAGCCACCATGCTCAGTCAAACTGTCCGATACGGTTTGCTCGGCTGCACGCTGCTCGGAAGCAGGTCGCCAGGTCTTCCTCTCGGCGTTCAAACCTGCAAAGTGAAAAGAATATTTGGCCACATGATATATTTTAAAAGTAGAAATAACAGGAGGAATCATTGCAATAGGAAGCAGTGAATTTCTGCTTGTAGGGATAGGGAATTTGGAAACAATTATGAGTGATAGTTGCATAACATGATAATCTAATTGATAACATTAAATGAACACCTGACAAATGTTTTATTGGCAATGTTCTGTTATATATTTT